TTGATCGGTCATTTTCAGGTATGGTAGAAAAGAGAAAGACAGTGAGGAAAATACTGACCACCCAGCCATCCACAAACCCCGAAATTAACGACTGTATTGATTGTCATAAAACTCGTTCAAAAACACAATCATGAGTGCAATCGCCTCGAGTGGAAGAAGCGTATGGAAGGACATAGTAGCCATATTGTTTTCAGCAGAGGAAAAATTGACTAACTTTTAATTTGGTCTGAGTGGATGTGCGTGCGGTGTAATAGATAGCGGCTCCGAGTGAGAAATCGGAGAACTGAGTTCTTATTCCTTGTAGGCAGAAGCAACGTTTAACGACTTACCATCTCTCCTTGTCCTTGTTCTACCATCCATTTACAAAGACATCTTGGGCAACTTAGACACTATTTCTCCCTACGGCTCTTTCCTTCAGTATGTGCCGTGAGTATTACATTTTGCACGTGGTTCTTCCTCATAATATATCCCAGAAATTTCAACTTTTTCTGTTTCTAAGTGTTTTTCTAGTTCCCATTTTCTTTAGAACTTCCTTATTGCTCACATATTCTGTCCGTAATAATTTCAGCTTTCACCTATAAAACTACATATACAAGCATCCAAATTTATATATGTAGAAACAAGCATCCAAATTGATTCAGTTAAGATACAAACTGGCGAATAAAAAATAAAAGAAAAAGTAAGATGTCTAGTAAAATCAATGCATAACAAAGCAGACAAGGCCCATTTAGATAGACGTTCAGATCGGGTAACCCAATCCGCTCTGACGGCTTTCGGTTGAGGGTGTTCCCAAGTGTCTAGGTCTGACTCCCAACATGTCATGGCTGCCTCATTCTAAAAGCTTAAAAAAAATGGCACTTGGCCATAATGCTCCGCTTTTGAACGAAGATGTAGACTGCGTCAGCTCCTCAGAGACATACACAACTGATTCTAGTCGACAATTATATATAGATATGAATTGAGGAATCGGAGAGCCGAGTTCGAATTCCACTCGAATCCATTACATTCACTTACGTGCTAATACCCTTGGGAAAGGTATGAATCTCCTTCTTCTCCCTCCCGCTATGGATAAATAGCAGGATCGACTGGGTTCTATAGCCTTGGATGGCAACTGGTCTAGGAGAAGGACAACTGAATTCAAAACCTGCGGAGGGTCGTTTGGGGACTTTGTGTCACGTAGTGCACCATGTCTATGTATTCGAGCCTTCAAAAAGTGTGGATGGTCCTGCACAAAACCTTCACCACTATAATCAAGTCGTATGTGCTGGTGTCAGGCTGTCGGTTCCTAGGAACTGAGCTGCTAGACCCTCATACGTCGAATACGACGGGTGAATCGAATATATACATACATATACATACATACATACATAGATAGATAGATAGATAGATAGATAGATAGATAGATAGATAGATAGATAGATAGATAGATAGATAGATAGAAGAGGTTACAGGTTGTAGAAGAATTAGAAACAGGAACATTAATAATGAGCGTGAACAGAAAAGAGTAATCAGGACTGTAGATAGCGATTGACATTTCATTTAAATTTTTGCAGATTATACTTGGAAAACATGAAGCCAGAAGGGAATTCCACAAGCGAGAAATGCGAGAAAGGAAACTGTTAAGATAGAACTTACGGCTATATCTAGCTAGCTCAGCTGTAAATGAGATGAAATATAGACGCCAGTCTAGTACTGCGCTTAAATTCAAAATGTCTAAGTACCATAGTGAAGAGCTCACCCGACCAATTACCATGAGAGTATTTCGAAAAAGACACACAGAGGCAACCTTACGGCTATGGGAAAGTGACTGAAGCCGATATATATATATATATATATATATATATATATATATATATATATAGAGAGAGAGAGAGAGAGAGAGAGAGAGAGAGAGACCGACCATCTATAAACTTGGATATAAGCACAGAGTATTGTAGTTAATTCAAAGTAAGTATTGACTTTAAATCATTTGGCGGATTCTGAATAGAAATTAAAATACCCCCCCCCATTTTATCTAGTGTTAACAATCCGCACTTAAACGGGACTTTTGTTAAATTTCTTTGAATTTTTCTCAGAAATGAAAACAAAGAATTACTATCATACATCGATTTATTCGTACCATTTTTCATCGTTGTTCTTATCACAACGTATGCGTCACAGTAATCTGAGAAATGTTGAAGGATGCAAAAGTTAAAACGTTCTAACAGAAATAGCAAAAAGCAGGCATCCGGATTTATAAGTCTCATTATAAAAGCGTAACAAAAATTATTTAGTCTGAGAAATTCAAACAGAAAAAGAATACAAGTTGCAACGGTCAAAAAGCTATGAGGAGGGACAAAATGATCAGAAAAGTCAACGTAAAATAGTAAAACATCTTTTTGTCGAATTTGAAACTCAAATTAAAAAATTGTCACTTCCTTTACAATCTTTCCTAAATATCAACCCAAAACTAAAATTAAATCACTAGTGGCATTTAATTATTTAGATAGAAAAAATATTTTTTAGATAAGAAGATACTTTCGTCATGAATTTCAAATACTTATGTTGTTGCTGTATTCTGTCAAATGTCATATTCAATGTATAAACACGTGGAAATCATCAGGTGAAAATTAATTCTGTTCAAGGCCTTTCCTATGCAAAGATATTACTGCAGTGGCAATAGAAGAAGCGATATATTATGAAAACGAGTGCAAAGTTGAAAGTCCGACCTCGAATTTTGTACGATCACTATAAGTATCAATGTCTTACCAACCGGACATATTACTTAGCTCAGATTTCATGAAGCAAACCTGAACATCCACTTTTAATTTCCTGTCTAAGGACCGAATGCAGTTACGTCCAATCATACATTGTGAAAACGATGCTTAGCTTCCATTCGAGGAGTTGCCTTTCTTAGTTTATCTATTGGGTCAGATAGATAGATAGATAGATAGATAGATAGATAGATAGATAGATAGATAGATAGGACACTTGAAATTCTCGCCTTAAAATGCGCAGGAAACAGCCAAAACAAGTACTAAGTGATGCAGATATATTACTAGAGTACAGAAGGTTTTATTAGTATACGAATATAGTGGGCATTACAAGAATATCGCTCGTTTCTCAAAAATAGTCTGACATGAAAACTGTAAAAATTCAACGAGACCGGGACACAAATTACTAAAGACAGAATTAAACTGTTTTAGAAAGCATGCCAGAAAGACAAACAAGATAAATATATAGAGAGAGACTTTTTAGATAAATATCACTAATACAAGGCTTGAGAGCCACTCAATGTAGAAAGTTATAGTCGAAATAGTAATGGTCAGTATGATGTGTTATATGAGCGTAAGAGAATGGAGTAGAAAGAAGAATAGATATCAGTTGGCACTTGACTTGAACCAGTTAAGATTAAAGTGTTTGGGGAAGCACTCACACAGGAGTCTGCTTCTCAAAGTGACAGTTCTTTGAAGATAAAAGCCGTCACAGTGGAACTTCCTTATTACATTTGGGACACGGAGGAAATGAAAGTAATTCGACTATGGAAGTAGCGTGGCTTGTTCTAGCAGTAACGGCCCGAACTGATGAGATAAAAAAATAGAGCTTTCTGAACACTTGCCATGGAAATAGCGATAGAGTACTGTAAGCTTGCAAAGTGAAAAATAAGCAATCCCCCAACTAAACCGCTTGAAGCAGTTCGACGCGATGTAATGGTTAACAAACCTGTCTCTCTAGATCAATTACGACTGAGTGGTGACTTCAATACTCACTGGGTGCTCCACATTTTCGACCTTGTGTCACATCTAAGCTGCGGTTAGAAAATCATTCGGGAGCACTTCAACGTGGTGTAATGGTTAAGAAGTTGTCTCGCTAGATCAATTATGGCTGAGTAGTGAGTTCGATCTACATTGAGTTCTCCATACTTTTAGCCTTGTGCCACAACTAACCTATTCTTAGTGTTGTTGCTCTATATTTTTGGCCTTGTACTAAAATCTCCCTATAAGACAGCGTAAACCAGTGGTCCCTAACCAGGGGGGTCTACCACCCCTAGGAGCACAATATTGGTTCCTAGGGGGTGCAAGGATATAGAATCATTAGAATCGGTTTATTAAGGAAACTCTAGTGAATTGTTGATGATGACAGCGACATTAAGGAAGATCTCGTCGATCTGAGAAACAATCGCGGAATACAAATGATGTTCACCGATGTTCGCCTGAAGTAATTCTGGGCTTCGTAGTTCGAAACGTACCTGGTACTGGCAAAAAAAAAAGCTTTGGCTGTGCTGGTGCCTTTCGCGACTACATACCTGTTCGAAACTTAATTTTCTTGTCTGCTTCACATCAAAACCAAGAGCAGCAATAGATTGGATTCCCAACACGACATGCGAGTATGAAAAACAATATGATTTTCTAACCGCAGCTTAGATGTGACACAAGGTCGAAAATGTGGAGCACCCAGTGAGTATTGAAGTCACCACTCAGTCGTAATTGATCTAGAGAGACAGGCTTGTTAACTCCAAGATTTTATGTCATCATAAACAGAAAACAGCAACAACCATGTCATTGAGTTTGTTGCTCAACCATAATCATTTACAACACATTCTGCATAGTACAAGCACATGTTACCGTAATTTTTTTTTTTTTTTTTTTTTTAATATGAAGGTAATCTGGGTTTTTGTAATACTTAATTTTGTAATACTTAATTTTGTTATCAGTTATCTGAATAAAGATTAAAGAAACACTATGGTTTTGTTATTTATACATGAGATCAATATTGTTTTTCATCAATTCTGGAAGCGGGTGCCAGAACTGGTTGGTGGTCTGAAAAAGGAAAAGGGTTAATCACTGGCGTAAATGATTTTGAACACTATCATGTCTGAAAAATGAAGGTAGAGCAGCTCCGATTCAAATATGGCAGCAATATTCCATATTGACCGGATTTGACTGTTGTAATGATACATGTGAGACACTTCCTGAAGCGCGTTGATTTTACAAACAGGAATGAACTGATATCTCGGAAAAATGGTAATGGTGAGCTAATCACCCAAATAGGTTATGACTTATCTGTTTGACTTAAAAACCAACATGTAAAATCTTGCTTTTCGCTCAACTTTGACTCGTTACTACACGTGTAGGCCATACTGAAAGAAATAACGATTATTGGCAATAATACATTGTCACGGTTGAACATAAATTCTTCTTTTTCTTCTTTTTTTCTATGTACCATATTCCTTTAGGACGTGGGCAATTATGACTCTCCATAACTCCCTTTCCTTTGCAGCCCTTAGTAAAGTTTGTATTTTTCCTATATTTCCTAATCACTATTCTGCCAACCATTTACACAAGGTTAATACTTTACTTAACTTTTGGAAGGAATCTTCCGCTATCCCAAAGTGTCTTCGGATTTCGGTGTCACATTTCCGTGCTCTGCTTGTCATCACGACTTCAGTCTCTTTCTCGCCGACGTGACGTGGCTTCTCTCTGTCTTTTCTACAAATATTTTTATTGCTACTTCTCCTTTTTCCCTGGTGCCCGGTCTACGTGAGTTTAAGCGTGCTACTAGACTGACATCTAGGTCCTGCTCTTTTACTGTTGAAAAAGTTAAATGTAACCGACACTTCTACTCCAACAGTTTCTTTTCTCGCACTTTCCGCCTGTGGAACTCTCTTCCGTTTTTTTGTTTCCCTGATAACTACAATATTTAAAAATTTAAATGCAACGTCATTCGACATCTTCTGTCTTCTTGAATCATGTTCAGCTTTTATTCTTTCCTCGATCCCCCGTACCCAGTCTTTTCTTACACTCTGTAACCTCCTGCGTGCCAGTGACTTTCCTGCCTTGCTTGGGGTGAAATGATTAAAAAAAAAATTGCACTTGTTTATTTATAATTGATATGTTGCGCTGTTTCTTTTGATGACAACATAGATTCTGTCTCCTTACAGTTGATGCTTAGTCTTTTCTTCTTGCTTTCCTTCAATACTTTCTGTAGAAGTTCCTATAGTTTCCTTTCCGTGTCTGCTAGCAACCCTGTGTAATCTATATATCTAATACTGTTGGGATTATGGCCACCAATAATGAATCTTGGTAGAACTTCTAATTCTCTCAGTATCACTTCATTGTAAAGATAGAATGTCCGGTTAGAAGACGTATCCTTGTCTTACGCCCCTTTCTATTTTTGCATAGTTACTGAATTAATTTTCTATCCTTAAGCAGACGGTTTGTTCCCAGTATAAGTTCTAGATTGTTCTAATATCCTTCCCGAATAAATCAAGCTTACCTAGCGGTTCAAACAATTCTTTATAGCATACCTTGTCAAACGCTTTTTCATAACCTAAACAAATATCCTCCAGAAAGAGATTTTACTATTAAATATTAACCAAGATTTACGTTTACGAGAAAATGTAATCATCTTCTTTGACATATTGTCTTTTCAGGAGAAGCGAGATCATTGCTCTCCACAACTTCCTATATTTTGTAGCTCTTAACAATGTCTGACATTTTACTATTTCTATCACACCATTTTGCCAACTATTTACATAAACTTGTTAATTAGTTTACACGTTGTTTCCCTTTGTTTCTCTTATCTTCACTATCTCTTGTGAGTGTTAATTAATCCAAACCCTTTTTCTCATTATGTGTGCCAGGAATTTTAACAGCTTCTTTCCGATTCCAAGTGTCGTTTCTTGTCCCAATTTTCTTTGAAGCTTCCTCCTTACTCACATGTTCTGTCTATGGTATTCTCAGTATATGTATAGAATCATACCCCTGTATATTAACAATTTTTCTTGTAACGCATTTATAGTAAGCTCGATACTCACTTTTTCATCGTCGTCTTCTTTTTCAATCTCTCTCTCTCTCTCTCTCTCTCTATCTATCTATCTATCTATCTATTTATCTCTATCCATCTATCTATAATACTCCCCCTCTCTTTTAAGGTAAGTACACAAAAACACCCTTTTACAGATTCGTCCCCCACCGAAATGACCACCAAGATTCAGTCAGTTATGGGTCATACGTGATACACGCTTAGGCGATCGTGTATCTTTCGATACATGACTGACGAATCAGATTTTTTCCCGCAATAAGGTGCCATTTCTTTCTGCGGTAGACCAGTTGCCATTCAAGGCTATAGAACCCGATCTGCCCTGCTATTTACCCATAGCTAGAGGGAGAAGAAAAGGATTCATACCTTTCCCAAGAGTATTAGCACGTAAGTGAATGTAATGGATTCGACAGGTACAATAAATGAATGCAACTAGCTGTGGACAAATATTCTTAAATTAATCAAAAATTAAAAAGTACTACTTAATTGTGTCACAAACATACCGCCTTGCGACAAAATTAACCTTAGTAATTAACATACAATCCTAATCCAAATATAAGTTTGTTGTTTTTCTTTCATTAAAATATCGACCAATCAGAAGGCTCATAGAATAAACTCCCAATTGGATTTCTCTATCTGTGGTGTCGGCATGCAAATATAATGTAGCTAATAACTCTCTTTCTCTTCTCGTCAGCTTATCTTCTTGGATGACTCATCGTTTCGCTGTGGTGTAATGGTTAACAAGCTAATTCAACAGATCATTACCTTTGTAAAGTAAATTCGACGAACGATGCTACACAGCACTAGGCTAACAATATAAGTAATCCTGAACAGCCGTTAGTCCAGTTCCTTTCGTACTAATGCAGGTGACCCCCAGGACTTCATCCTTGGTCCTGTTCTGTATATTCCTGAACACCGAGTAATTTTGTTGCATTTTACTCTGCTCCACTTACCAGTGCAATTTTAATTTATGGACGCCAACTCGTGCAAATATCTGAAAAGAGGACCTGGAGAAGAAAAGGTTAAAAACCACTGATCTCAAGTCTGCTTGATGACGACTGAGGTTATGTATTTCGACCAATACTGCCAGTTGGCTGTTGAGCTGACGAAAACATCAACCAAATGGTTATCAAATGGTTGATCCTGATTCCACAAATTCTAAAATCAATCGGTCTATCAATAATATATATATATATATATATATATATATATATATATATATATATATATATATATGAAAAAAAAATGGAAAAACAAAAATCCGAATATTACAAGTATGCTGTTTTAATGTTGTTTTCAATGTCGACGTCAACATTAAACAACATTAAAACAGCATACTTGCATATTCGGATTTTTGTTTTCCATATTTTTCTTCATACTGTCAGATCTATATCCACATATTTGCTTACATATATATATATATATATATATATATATATATATATATATATATATATATGGGCATTAAAGTCAACACCCAGCGACAGTATGTTTCATGCTTATACACAATCGTCAGGCCTGATTAACATTGAAGTCAACACCCAGCGGCGACAGTCTGTTTCAAGCTTATACACAATCGTCAGGCCTGATAAACACTAAAGTCAACACCCAGCGGCGACAATCTGTTTCATTCTTATACGCAATCGTTAAGCCTGATGATTGCGTATAAGCATGAAACAGACTGTTACCGCTGGGTGTTGACTTCAATTCCACTTTTATATTTACATACGCTCTATCCCTGATATTGTACACCTTAGTCCATAAATATAGCATACCGTAAAACTATATTTTTATCTTATAAATATATATATTGCCGATATCTTCTGAGGACTGGACGGAGCGATTGCCCGTCAAGAAAACTCGAGAGTCGAGTTGCTGAAAATAGCATTAATCAGCTAAGTAACAAATTTGATTTTTTTGCATTAATATATATATATATATATATATATATATATATATATATATATATATATATATATATATAAGGCATTGAAGTCAACACCCAAAGGCTACAGTCTGTTTCATGGTAAACCTAATCATTAGGCCATGTGTTTTCTTCAATGTACACTTTTATATTTACATACGCTTTATCCGTGATATTGAGTACTTTAACCCATAAATATAGGACACCTCAAAACTATATTTTATCATTCATATATATATATATATATATATATATATATATATATATATATATATATATAGAAAGTGCCTGAAAACCATACCACGGGTTGACCCAAGCCTTGTGAGTGAAATTGGGTAGACGGAACTGCTAGGGTCCGTCGATAGCTGTGCTAACACGAAGCCACAATTAATCGTTGCCGAGGGCTTGAGCGTGCTGGCCTTGTTCAAATTGGTGATCACGCTAGATAACACGCTCTTTACCAGAAAGTGTAACTAAGGTCTGCTCAGCATAGTTACAGTATAAACCACAGTTAGACTCTGTAGGTGTTGAACAAACACAAATGTGCCTGAGCGAGCGTCTGCAATAGGGATTAGCTAGCTACCCTAGTAGACGGGTATCCTCGAATACGAGTGACCAGCTATTATCATTATTAATATTATTATTATTATATACATATATATATATAGAGAGAGAGAAAGAGAGAGATATAGAGAAAGAGATAGAGAGAGAGAGATTGAGTGAGTGAGAGAGAGAGAGGGAGGTTAAATGAAGAAGAGGCGAAAATGGGAGGGGACTGTCGTTCGAAGTTTCAGTTCAATGAAAACCAAACATTTCAAATGTTTATTTTCAATGAAGGTAAGTGTATCTGTGCTGCCATAAGCTTAGCTAAGTCGAGTAAATATATGCACATGTTTAGAAAGAGCCTTTTCTCATTTGTGTTTCTACTAAGCCTTTTCAAACACGGTAGTATAAACACAAAAAGAGAAAAACAATAGTTAAACTTTGGGTCCCTTGTGGAGTAAGGCTTAACGAACTAGTCTGGTTGACCATTACTAATCAGTAGGAAGTTCATTCTTTACTGGGTGCCACACACGTTTGGCTTTGTGGTAAGCAGAGTAAATAACCAAGTCTAAAACCTAAACAAGTTTACAAGAATTTCATACTGACAATTTTTATAGCTGAATCGATTATGTCTCTTTATTCTGTAAGAAATCTGGTTCTCAAATACCATCTCATTCACCAAATGAAATCCGCACCTGAAAATATCATTAAAAGGTATATTCTACTATGGATATTACATCCAATCACGAAACCATCTCTTTTATATCTAAGCTTTTGAATCGATTCCCAGATTTGTGTGGACTATCGAACTTATTCTTTGTTTTGATTTCATTGTTATCACAACGTTTCTGCCGATCAATTCTACAGCATTCTCTGTGTAGTCAGTATGCCAAAAATAGAGAGAGAGAAATAACAAAAACAGAAATGGTGGTTAACATTGTCTGAACGACGCTTGAAATTATAATGGTTCTTTTCAAAATGGTCTCCCTTTTTTTTTCTTTTTATAATGGATTGGCCAAAAAGTCCATTCCGTTTTTTAAAGCGAAAATAAAACCTAAGTTTTAAACACAAAGACATTTAATCAATAACTGATATTGAGGGTATGTACATTCAACGATTTTTAAAGACACCGAAACAGGTGGAAATCTGAAGACGCAAGGTCGGATATATATGGAGTGTGCGGCAAAACTTCTCAGATAAACCCCAGTAACTTCTGCCGCGTTTGCAAAGAAATGTGCAGTCTGGCATTGGCGTAATGAAAAACAGTTCTCTTAACGATTATCAAGTGCTGGACGCTTCTGGCAGATAGCTTTATCCAGCTATTCACAGTACGCAGCCGAATTGAAAGTCCTGTTTGTGAAAAGAAACTCGTAAAAGACAACAGCCTTCCAAATTTAAAGTATAACCCTCTTTGGTGGGTTCGATTCTTCATTGATGCCCTGTACGTGTGGCGTTTGTGCAAAATCTGAGGTACACTTCATACATAACAATAAACAAAAAAAATAACTAATAATAATTAATCTATTAAGCCTCATTTACTGAAACTTAGAGATGTAGTTCTACAGAAAGATGCTGAGAATATGAGTAACGAAAAAGTTGTAAGAAAAATTAGAGCAGAAAAGACACTTATGCTTAGAATGAGAAAGAGACAGTTGATATCTCTAAGCTACAAATTGAGGAAAGAAGGCTTGGAGAATATAGCACACACAGGACATATTGGATGGAAAATTTGCAGAAGGAAACAGCGAGTGACCTACTTAACGTGCTTGTGCAAATGGATGTCACAACAGGGACTGAAAGGGATAATAAAGATGAAAACATTACTAAGAGCTATGAAGGAGAGGAAGGCGCGGAGAGTACTAATCGACCACGTCTTGAGGCGACGAGGCACATAGAACATTAAAATTTGTCGTAATTTTGCGGCAAAACCACGCTTAAAGAACTGGCTCTTATTTGATTATCAAAGTTAAGTACCGTTGGATTTGATTATTACTTCGATGACTGATCGCTTCAAAACATATTGGAAAATCTCGTAATCTATTAATAGCCTTGTGCCAGACCAATCAAAGCTTAATAAACTATCTTAATCTATCTGGATCATCTCCAACAAAAATTGTGTTGGTCTTCCTTACAGTGCCGGATACAATAGATTCCTACCCGTTCGATCAATGATCTAGATCAATATTGCTTAACTGAATAGAAACTGGTACGTCCATTGTGAAAGATCCGTGTGCTTACATCAATTAGCTGATGCACTTCTGAATGCAATACTTAGTAGCGTTAAATTATGCAATCGTTTTATATGCTACACTCTGGACACGTTCAAAATAATAATTTTTGATTTACATTTACTCGTAGAAATTGCATTCAAAATGCAAGACGGAGAGATTGCTATACGATAGATTTTCCGATTACATGAATTTTACATCGAAAACGTTAAAGATACAGAGACGCTTAGCTTTGAATTTAAATTTTGATGTCTGGCGTATCTAGATGCTTAACTTAATCGATTTTAAATATTTGCTTCGCGTTTCTCGTTTTCTTTTCTTTTTTTCGTGGGTGGGGGGTTAATCGATTTCACTCAGAGCAAGACACAAGGTGTAAAAGAATTAGGAACAGAAAAATTACTAATGAGAAGATAAAAT